CATTCAACGGCGGCACCACCTCCTCCGCCACTGACACTTCTTCTACCACATTCTTCTTCTCTGCTTTCTTAACTGATATAAACAAACGAATTGAAAAAAACTTAGTAAATTGAATAATTTAATTTTGAACACTTCATTATTCATTTTTTTTACCCACACAATACATTTCTATCAGTAACATTTGAAACACAATATAATAGGTTAAAAAGGTCACCTTTTCTCTGTTCTTTGGGTCCTTCGGCAGTGTTTTGTCGTTCTGGAACAGCTTCATCTTTGACAGGCTCCGGATTAGCGGCCGGTTTGGACGGAGCTTTCGTATTCTTGGCCGACTTCGGAGCCTTGTCCTTCTTTTCTGCAGCCTCTTCCTTCTTCTCTAATGCCTAAACAACATATTTTAAGCCATTAAAAACCAACCAATATTATTGTTACATGTTAAACATTAACTGTTTTTTACAAACAAATTAAGTAGCTTTCAAAAAAAGTAAAAATTTTAATTTATTTTAATCATTTTTATCAAACAAACAAAAATGTTAGCAATTATTTTATTTTTTTTAATACTGGCACAAAATGTTTACATACATAATGTCTATTTTAAAAACTAAAAAGATAACACAATGTAAATGTTTAATGATATACGGGTACCATACAATGATAATGCAGGTTACAAAAATGTCGACCCAGATGACAATACATTGACATTCAAATGACATACAATAAAGCTTACTCATTATGCCAAAGCAAATATATAAAGCATACAAAGACATTAACACTATCCACGATTGTTTTATATACTAAGATTACATAGAAAACAAGAGTTACATGAAAGAACAAAGTAGACGTGCGTTAGGATCGTTGCACACTCACTTTTTCAAGGAACGATGAGTGCAACAATTCGAACTCGTCCTTGGGGTGCATTTCTTCAAAGTGGTTGGAGACGGCACTGCCGTTGATGGGCGCGGAGCCCGGATCGCTAACGCAGCTCGGATCCTCTTTGTTAACAAGTATCGGCTTTACTTTAAGATCCTTACCGCGTTTGCGGATCTGCACACAGAGTAAAACTACCGTACAATAGAAAACATAGAACTTTACACTAACACTGTGCACTACTAATCCACAACACAATGCTTAATACTTACTACGTATAAAATCAATGCATTTCCCTGATAACTACTGCACTTTTTAGTGTTTTAGTATTCCAATGTTATATTTTATTATTTTAACATAGATAAAAATCAATTATTTCTTCAAGACAAAAAATCTCAGTGTCCATCCATTGGTTCATTGACCCATTGCCAGAATAAATATTGAACTACTTCTCAAATCTAAGGCGAAAAGTATAGGATGTAACAAGTTAGCATCTAACTGTTATTACAATCACTGGAAGTTTTATATTTATACATGTTGTACAAACAATTACAATTCGTTTTTAATTTTAGGTGATTCTATACTCGTAAAAATTACTAACGCCAACGTCATGTATGCAATAGTGAAAAGTGCAAAAAGATTTTTGATTAATCATTATTTAAATATATTCTTATTGCAATGTTTTGTATTTTTTGACGATTATTGCTAACCTTTATGATATAATATCAATAAATGCAATTGAAAACGCCGAAAACTTATCATAATAATTTATATTTATATCTAAGATAAATGATGAAGCAAATATAAGCATGTTGATTCAAAGAGTGAAAGTTGCGCGATCAACTTGTATGCGAAATTCAGATATTGCTAGTGTTTATTTTAATTTTTTGATTTAGAATTTAGTCTTAATTTAGTATAAATGAAGAAAATGCGGACATATCTCAAACAATAGAAGATAAACCATTTTAGAGTGGAGCATGACTTATCAATTATCTTATGCTCCAAATTCATAATCAACCAAAACAAGATACTATTTAAAATGCACTTTCGTTTTTAAATAATATCAGTTCTTACGCTCGCGGCATTTTGTTCCAACTTCCATTTCTGTTAAAATATGTAGTTTTGTATTGTTGAATGATTCATTATCTATCCAAATGCAATCAGGTCCCATACACGAAAAAAATGAATAACGAAAAATACGACAAAGTGTTTCCTATGACACTTCTCGGAAAAATACTATTATTCATACATCATAGATCAAAATGCAGGTTTTTTTAGGCTATGATCCTAATAGAATGGATATAGATGGCATTACACAAGGTCATACCTTATTCTGCAAATAGGACATGCATGCAAATAAGATTGTCCTATCAAAAAAATATTGTTCCAAAATTGATAAAAACAATTGCTTCCAATAAAATAAATATGCACACCATTGATGTCCCATAATTATTGAAATAGAATATTTAATGTTAGCATGCAATATTAACTCGTTTGGGAATATATGTACCAATTAAATGAGAACTATTTATGTTAAAAATCTCCTCGCTGCATATTTTGTGAAAGGAATAAATATTTAAGTAGAGTGACGTCATAACAGTGGATAACCTTGTATTTACATTTTTTGAGATCATTATCAACTTTTCTCAATAAAAAAATAATCTAAAAGTGCACATACAAGGTCATAATCTAAAGTCAACTATTCTATAGTAAGCTTTGGTATGTTTGCGCATGCACCTAAATGACATTTAAAGATAAGATGTTAATTATAGAATTATATAAGATTTTATATTACATTGTATGAAGCAGAATTAGATTGATATACTATACTTTATATAATTATTTCTATAGTTACTGACCTTAATATTGGGAGGAGTATCTGTGGGCACATCCACAACAACAGGAGGGCTGAATTCCACATGAGGCTTGGATGCAGGTGCATTATCTTCATCAGCTCCACTCTCTGCAGGTGCCTCACTCTCCGGTTCACTCCCAGTTGCCGCTGCAGCACTCTCCTTCCTCTCTTTCTTTGCCAACTGATATTAAGAATAAGTATCAAATAAAAATGTATATACTGTGACTTGTCAAAGATTACTTTTATGTCACTACTTGTTTTTGTCCACGAATTTCCGCGTGGATTAAAAAATAACTAAGTATGTATGTGTTCTTTCAGACTATGTTATACATCTGTGCCAAATCTCATTGAGATCCATTAAGTTGTTTTGAAATTCAAAGTGAAAAACATCCATCCATCCATACTTTTGAATTTAAGATATATGATTTTTACTATGTGGTTTTAACAATTCATCCAAATTATATCCATAATTGCAAAATGTAAAAATTTTCTTTTACATAAAATATTTTCCTCAAGTAATAATTTTATCTGATATTTGGGCTATCACATTATCATTTCAGTAAAGTATGAAAGAAGACTATGCAAACACAGGTGTGAAACAGTAGCGTCAATTGCCACACAATTGACTAAAATTAAACATTACATTTGAGTATGTCTAATTGTAAGGACAAATTATTAATGTTACCATGCAGTTTATATTGCTCTTTTAGGTATTAAATTATGTAACAAAGTAAATTTCGCCTTTTTTTTCATTATTTTTCACACATTCGGATTTCATTTGTGCCAGTTATAAATATAAAAAATAAAAAGAAAATATCCATTACGGAGAAAAGTGTTGAGATAATAAAGAAATAAAATTGAAACATAGTTTTAAAAAATGATACCTTCTTGTTTGCTTTCTTGCTAGTTTTCTTAGCTTTTCCCTTATTCTCAGCCAGAGCAAGAAGTTCAGTAGTGGCCTTTCTTTGTTGGGCGATGGCTTCTTCATATGTAGTTCCTGATGTAGAGAACAGGCCCATCAGCAAGATAACTGCAGCGCCAGCTACACCGAGGCCACAGAGCACCAGCAATGCTTGAAGCTCCATTGCCTCAACTGCCCACTACACTTTACTATATGGAACAAAAATTAACCATGTATTCCTATTTTGCTATTTGTTCTAAAACTTACAAGAAACCAGAATTTACTTGTAATATTAGTAAGACATGTTGCATATTTTTGTTGTAAAAAGACCAGAAATCAAGGTTACATATTCATTGAGTTTTACAAAAAATGGGGCTCGATAGTAACACCCTAACACTAGGTAGGCAGTTCAGTTAATTTAATTATTTTTCCTATTGGAAACATTGAAAATCATAAAAAAAAATTATAAGATCAGGACTAATTATTAACTTTTACATATAAGTTTAAAACATAATTAATACTACATTCCGCATGTTTACTATAAATACAAATGTATTAATAAAAATCCGGCGATTTTATTCTACCGCAACTTGAGACAAAAGAAATTGGAAAGGATCTTGTACAGTATGGGATACTTCTAAAACACAATTGAGAGATCATCTTAAAAACATACCTTAGTGTGAAGAAATTATAATTATTACAAGAATACTTTGAATATTTAAGTCATTAGCAAATTTTAACACCGCTACGTTTTGAAGACTGACACGTAAGCAATGACACATGTCAAAGGTTATTGACAGTACTTTCGCTAAATTTATTACAGCGTCATTTAAAACAAATATACTACGTACAGGAGTTACACCTAATCAATATAATAAGACTTTTAATACGTATAGAGAACAAGTAACAAGTTACTAATGGTTATAATTGCAAGTAAAATGTTAAAAATGTAGGTACAAGTTTTGATTTACCTTAATAAAAATCCTGAAACAACTTAAGTTTGCTTATATTATACGGTGTTCACTAATACATATGATTATAAATATAAAAATTACTTTAAAATAAACAAATAATCCAATTAG